TGGATTGGAGGGGAGTGCGGGGAATCCAAAAAATGACTAGCTTGGGAGTGAAGAGGGTGCCTTCCAAATACCTAGAGAAGCATGATCTGGAAGAAAAACATTTATTAAGCTTCAGTGTACCAGAATAATGTCATGTGAGGTGGGTCATGTTATCAGTATTGCTCTTACGGTCTTCAAAACTCACGTGTGAAATGACACTTGACTAGGGCTCGCTATAGGCAGGGCTGGACTTAGTTATCTGACTCCAAGTCAGGTGTGCTTCCCCTTGTACCTCCGGAACCTGGGACTGTGGCCTCTCCATCTCAGTACAGAGTTTGTAGAAGAGTTCTAGTGGTACCTTATTATGTTAATTTCTCTGGCTTGTAACTCTTCAGATAGTTGTCTGTAATTTGTCAGAGCTGAGTTTTTGAGCAATTCATGATTGGTGGTAGATGCTAATTGAACAATTTCATTTTCCGAACATGTAGTTTTTGCCTGGATTTTGCCATTGGTGGGCCTGGGAACTAATAAAACAGCCTCTCTTCCCCGACACCTAGCTTCTCTGCGCTATCCCCAGTGGGTATTTTCTTTGCTTGGGAGCATCTTCTCTCATTTGAGTCAGACTAGCCAAGGTATCAGGCTGAAAGCATAGATGACAGCCTGGGGTTGCTCTTAGGACATTGAGGGAAGCAGTGTTCCCTGTCCCCCAGGAAGCCAACCATGCAGCGTGCTCAAGTCTGAGCTTCAGGTGTAAAGGGTTAATCTGGTCCTCAGTTCCTCAAGCTACTGGGTTATTTCCTGACCCTGATAGACCTGGCTAGAGAGTGCAGGTGGGCAGGAGCGTGGTGAGTTGGCATCTCTGACTTAGCTGGCCCTTCTGTGATTGTCAGCCGTGTCTGCCCAAGACGCCTTAACTCCTGGCTAATCTCTTGCAGAAGTGTGACCAAGGGTCACTGCCATGGGCCTGCTGGCAGTTTTTATCTACTCCTCTCTTGATTGCATCTTCCCAGGATTTTTCTTCTTGCTCCAAGCAAATATCACAGTGATCTACAGTTTTCCTTCTTACTAAGTTGGCTCTGTGTTCTCATATTCAACTATATGATAGCATTTCAGAGCAGTGGGTCCACCTCCTTAGGTTGGAAATTCAGGAAAGGAAGAAATGTATTTTTCATCATGTTCTTTTAATATATTTCAGCTTCTGGTCTTTCCGTAGATCTTCTGCCGTTTCCCTGAGGGCCTTCTCTGGAGCTGGTGGAGCATGTCCAGTGTTGTTTTGGTGGGTTCCAATGGTGATCAGGACTGTTGTTACCATGGGCATGATTGAAAGCTGATGCTTAGCAAGTTGATTCCTTGCAGCACTGTGCTCCTTAAGGACCCTGAGAACTGGCCTAGGAAAGCTTCCAGAGGCTGTTTCTTCCTTCCCTTCTTCCTGTTGCACATGTAGCCATATGCCAAGCGCTTAACTTGGTACTGGGCTGGTGCAAGTAAAGAATATCTCACTAGAGTCAGTATGCACAGGTGCTCTGGTGGCAGGATTGAATCCTCATCTTCCTCTTCTCCTTCCTCCCCATCACTAACATGCTGGTATACTTAAATTTATAGAGATTTTTTTCTCCCAATAGGTAGGGATGGTTTTTTATGAAGAATAAAAGTGAGGCTTAGGGTTTGTTTTGTTTTTCTAAAAGCATCTGTGGTATTCACCCTGGAGGGGTATTTCATTGCTGTCACCATCACCTGCCATCACCTGCTGTCTGCTTTCTGCCTTTCCAGCTCCCACTTCACTCACTAACACTATCACCAAAACAATGGCCCTTGAGAGCCTGCATGAAATTAGAGAAATTAGATGTAGTGCATTTCATGTTGAAATTAGGAAAGAGTTATAAATGATATCAAGAATTAGTTTTTGCCTTATTTTGATCATCAAGACCAATCGTTTAATTGTACCAAGATAATAAATAGGATGGTCACAAGGATTAAGGTTCTTAGTGGCATAAATGAATAGGTTTAACTTTCATATCCAAATATACTTCTTTTTGGTCAAGGTGACAAGAATGCCAGAGTGAGAACTGCTGTTCCTGCACCATTCAGCTTCCGTGAGGGTGCAGCCCAGGCCAGAGTGCACATTCATGTTGCAAATATGTTTGGTATATCATTTATTGTTTCTTACATCCACTCTTAAAACGATTTTTTTTTTGCCTGTAAGTTTTAACATTTATATTGATATATAATTCTCATACCATAAAATTCACATATGTAAAATGTACAATTCATTTGTTTTTAATGTGTTCACAGAATTCTGCAATCCTCACCACTATTGAGCTAATTTCAGAACTTTTTTTTTTTTACCCCCCAAAAGAAACACCATACTCATTGCAGTTACTCTTCATTCTGCCACCCTCAACCCAACCCTAAGCAACCATTAATTTATTTTCTGTCTCCGTAGATTTGCCTATTCTGGATATTTCATAAAAATGGCATCAGGGTTCATCCATGTTGTAGAATATATCATTTTTATGCCTGAATAATATTCCATTTTATGGGTATATCACATTTTGTTAATGCATTCGTCCATTGATGGACATTTGGGTTGTTTCCACTTTTTGGCTATTATGAATAATGCTGTTGTGAACATTTGTACACATATTTGTATGAACTTGTTTTCATTTCAAAGGTGGATCATGCTGAGTCATATGGTAACTGTATGTATCACTTTCTGAGAAACTGCCCAACTGTTTTCCAGAGTGACTGCACAATTTTACATTCCTACCAGCAGTGAATGAAGGTTCTAATTTCTCCATCGTCTCACCAGCACTTGTTTTTATCTGTCTTTTTGATTATAGCCGTTCTGGTGGTGTGGAGTAATATCTCATTGTGGTTTTGATTTCGTGTTCCTAATGACTAGTGATGTTGAACATTGTATCATGTGCTTGTTAGCCAATTTTATGTCTTTGGAGAAATGGCTAAATCCTTTGTCTACTTTTTAATTGGATTTTGTGGTTTAGTATTGAGTTGTAAGAATTCTTAATATATTCTGGATACAAGTTGCTTAGCAGATACATATGATTTGCAAGTAGTTCTCTCATTCTGTGGGTGTCTTTTTACTTTCTTATGGTGTTTTTTTACAGCACAGAAGTTTTTTATTTGATATAATACATTTATGTCTTTTTTCTTTTGTTGCTTGTGCTTTTGGTGTCATATCTAAGAAACCATTGCCTAATCCAGTGTTACAAAGATTTCCTCTATGTTTTCTTCCAGGCTTTGCTTTTGTAATTTTAACTCTTACATTTAGGTCTATGACCCATTTTTACTTTTTTTTTTGGTATGGTATGAAGATGAGGGTCCTGCTGTATTCTTTTGCATATGAATGTCTACTTGCCTGATCACCGTTTGTTGAAAAGACTCTTCTCTCTCTCTTGAATGGTCTTAGCATCCTTGTTAAAAATCAATTGGCCATAAATGTATGGGTTTATTTCTCAACTCTCAATTCTATTCCACTGATTTCTATTTTTATTCGTATGTCTGTACACAGTGTCTTGATTACTGTGATTTTGTAGTATGTTTTGAAATTGGTAAGTGTGAGTTCTCCAACTTTATTCTTCTTTTTCAAGATTGTTTGCTTTGGGTCCCTTGCATTGCCATAAGATTTTAGGATCAGCTTGTCAATTTCTGCATTTGGTGGATATTCTGTTCAATCTGTAGATCAGTTTGGGGAATAGTGCCATTTTAGCCACTTTGAGTTTTCTGATTGTGAATGTGGGATATCTTTCTATTTATTTATGTCTTTAATTTCATTCAGTGATGTTTTGTAGTCTGTAGCCTATGTCTTGCATTTCTTTTGTTAAATTTATTCCTAAGTATTTTATTCTTTTTGCTGCTATTATTAATGGAATTGTTTTTCTTGGTTTCATTTTCAGATTATTCACTGCTAGTGTATGGACAGAAAACTGATTTTTAAAATATTACTTTGTATCCTGAAAACTTGCTTGATCTTGCATGTTAGATTAAGAGTGTTTTAGTGGTATTGCTAGTATTTTCTACATACAAGATCATATCATCTGCAAATAAGAGGTAATTTTATTTCTTCCTTTCCAGTCTGGATGCATCCTTAAGTTTTAACCTTTTTCTTCCTTCCATTATTTTAGCATAAAATAATGTTTCCTAAAGCATAGTGATGTATTAGCTAACTATATATATATGGTACATGTATAGACATTTTTCACATTGTAAGTAGTTAAATACCTTAAAGTGTATTAATTTTATTTTAATAGATGATAAAAATATGATAGTTCATAATTTTATGGTGTTGGATCAAATGTCACTTTATCAGGATGTTCTTCCCTGAACATCCTATTTAAATATCAGATATTCACTCTCCCTCTATCTTGCTTCGTTATTTCTTCCTACCACTTATCCCCATACCTGTTATACACAAATGTACGCTGTGTATCAGACGTGTGATGTGTGCGCTTATCGTCTGTTTCCATCCACTGGGACGTAAGCTCCATGGGAGCAGAGACTGTCTCACTCTTTGCTGGATGGCAGTGCCTAGGACATGGGTACTCAGTAAATATTTGTCCGATGAATGATTAATTGTTTAGAACAAGGTTAAATATTTTAAGAAAAGCGAGTCAGTTTCAAGTTGATTCAAGAAACATATTGACTAAATAGTTGTTCAGAAGGCATGCAAATATGGCAAAATTCATAAAGGCTGTGTGGCATGCCAGGAGTTTGGGAAACTCTAACTTAAGAAATGAGAAGAAGCAGGATGGAAAAGGAGCTTTTAAAATCATTTTCTCTGAAGTGGTAAGTTATCTGTTAGCTCACAGACCCTTCCCCAACCCAGATCAGGGATCCCTTGTGGCTCTTAACCTATAACACTTGAAATTAAGTATATGTGGGAAAGTGGTTCCTGCTACCCACCACAGAAACCCTGCTGGCACTTTTGGAGGTCATCTGGAAATGTTTGAGGTACTTTTGGCTGCCCATGGAAACTTGGCTTATAGATCATGTCTTCTTTGCAGGGCTCTGTGTTTGCAGAGAGCAGAAATGACCATGACTGCCAACAAGAATTCCAGCATCACCCACGGAGCTGGAGGCACTAAGGCCCCTCGGGGGACTCTGAGCAGGTGAGTAGGGGAGCACTGCTGGGGGAATGGGGCTCACTGGAGGGTAGCATCAAGGGACATCTAATGGCCTGTGTCCTGGGTAGGATTCCTGCCAAATGGAAATGATTATCGTCATGATTCTGACAGTCATCCACGTGAATAATCTGTGCCAAGCTCTCTACAAACAGTGACATCTCAAGGCATTTTTTATGCCCTCTAAGATTTTGGTTACTCATCTATAAAGTAGTAATACTACATATCCCATAGAGTTTCTGAAGGATTAAATGATATAATAATGTATAAGTGCTCAGATAGTGCCTCGCCAAAGCAAAGCAAAACAAAACAAAACAAAAAAACCACCCAATAAACGTTAGCTCCCTCCCTAGGATGAGACAGAAGCTTTCAGAGCTAACAGATAGATGTGCAGCCCTCACTGGGGCCTCTCAGGTTTTGGCCAAAGCTGGATGCTGATGTCCTAAAATAACCTCTTTTATTAAAGCCACATACCTTTCATAGCCTCTCCTTCTACTGAATCTCAGGTGGACAGATGTGGCTTTTGGAACCTCAGCCACCAGAATGGATAGCTGTGAGAAGGATGCTCATCTGAGACTGGGACCAGGCTGGTTCCTTCCTGGATGTCTCGGCTATGCACTGCCAGGTGGAGTCCAGCGGAGTGTGGCACACTCAGGGCTGGCCAGCTGCAGTCATAGCTGTTTGGTTTGTTTAGACCTGGAGTCTGGATATGGCTGGTAGATTGGGGCACAGGATGGAGCCCCTGGGGAGTGACTGACATGAACGAGGCAGGAAGAATTCTGTATACCACACGTGCAGAGTTTGGTCCCAGTGGAAATGGTCAGGATGGACAGTGCCAACCAAGCAAAAGTTGGTCGGTTCTGGCTTGTTAACTAAGTAAGAGCTTGGGACTTAGACTAATTGAATGTCCACTCTCTGGTAGCAAGAGCAGTAAGAACGTCCCCTGCCCACACATTCCCTGTAACCTGGACTAGAGGTGCTTGTGTACTTGCTTCTCTAAACTGGGTGAGGCTAAGAATGGCCGGGACCAACTTCCTGGGTAAAAGCAAATAGAAAAATGGAACTCGCCCAGCGCACGTTAGTGGCCGAGGCAGAAACAGGTCTAGATCTCAGAGTCTTTGTCTCCCATTGTCTGCTTCTGAGGAACCGCTTTGCTGGGCTCTCCTCAGTCTGCTGGCATTTCTTACTCTGCGGTCTGACTGTGACTATGTTGGCAGATGAAGACTGGGAATTAAGGTTCCCATTTTTTAATGTGAGACTGTAGGGGTAAAATAAACATTATGTATGATTGTATCATATTATTCTTAAATTAAAGGAAATAGTATATTTAGAACCTGAATTAGAAATTACCGTACCCAGGAGCTCTCAACTCCTTCAGGCATTCATTTTTTTTTTCTTCCTGATTTCCACTGTGTGTGGGGTGGGATGGGGGTGCTGTGTTTACATGAAGTCACAAAGCAGGATCAGAACTGCTGACAGGCACGGCAGTTTCTGTTTGCAGTACATAGCTACATGTTTTAAACATCTTTAGAATTTGCTCTTCCTTTAGCTTCCCAGCGTGCTTGCCATCAGAACATGACGCATGGTATTTGTAAATATCTGAACCTCTGATGTGCCTAAAAAAGCCCTTTTCCCTCTGAGTTTCCCCTTCCTTCCTGCCACATTTCCGCTTGCCTCCCTTCCTCCCTGTTTTTCTGGGCTTTGGGCATGGAGTCATAGGCCTCTGTGGCTAGCTTCATCCTTCTCTCAAAGGCCACAGCTGGACTGTAATTGCTATTTCAATAGTGTCATCTGGTGGTTTCTGGCTGCCTTCACCCCCAGCCACATCTGGGGGTGTTCTCAGGGCTGAGTAGGGCAGTAAGTCACCAATTCATTTAGGAAGTCGTCAGTGAACTCTGAGGGCTCTCCTCTTAGGTGCTGGACTCTGTGGTGGACAGTGGGGGATAAAGAGGGATGATCCATTCTCTTTTTTTAAGTTTGGATTGATGACCTTGGTACCCAGATTTCTTAGTGTGACCTTTCAGTAGATATTTGGCTGTGACTTGGAGCCCTGATCACTGCCAGCCCAGGAGTCCCAGTGTCAAAAGATTCCCGAGTGTGACCAGAACTTTGGTTGGGGAGTGCAGGAGTGCTAGGGCCTTGGGAAGCTGGGCCTTTCACGCCCTTGCTGCTCTGGGGACCTTCACAACATCCACATGGAGGCAGAGGAGCTCAGTGATACTGAGAGGCATTTGCATCTAGCTTTAGGGGCGGGGGACTCTGGGGTATGAAAAACTGATGGGGAAAGGCAGGTGGAAACCTGTGGAACTGCTGGGATATGTATTTGCAAGACTGTATCCTTAATTTGAATAAGACTTCACCTGTGCCACCATTAAGCCAGTTTGGGTTAAGAATCCTGGATTCCATTCCATTATTGGGTTTTTATGGGTGTTTTGCTAATTTATTCTCTTCCTTTTCCTTTACAGCCCAGTCTTCATTTGGCAGGATATGTAAGAGGAGGAAACCTAAACCATTCATTTGCCCCCCAGAGCTTTGCTCTTTGCTGTATTTTGGTCTTCTGGAGCAGGTTTCCCGTTCTCCTTGTTGGTGAGGCCAAAGGGGAACAGTGCTTCACTCTTAGCAGCTTCACCTCCCCACAGGCTGCTCCCACTCCAGCACATAAGATTTGGCTGCATCTATTTTGGGGTGTGGGATTCTCAGAGTTCCTCTGAATTCCAGAGGTCAGGCTTTATGATGTTAGTGTTGACCTGGGTGGGACTCCAAACAGCTTGGTGACTTGTAAACAAGATAGTGTTATATTCGGAGCTACTTCAGCTACCTAGACTGGGTGAACTTTGCCACTTGTTGCTCTCAGGAGATTTCACTTGTGCTGTAAGGCTTGGCAGGCACTGGGGGCTGTCTCAGAAGACGTGTGCCTGCTGATTTACTCAGCAGCTTCTTCACTATAAACTCCAGCATTTGGGTCATTGTGACTTGGAAATAAATGCAGGCTGTCAGAATTGTGTTCTGGAACCTTACTTCTGGATGGATGGATGTATGGGAAACTTGAGTGTCTATAAAAGCGTAGACTTCTTCGGGTCAAGGACTGACTGACTTCTGTTTCCTCCAAGCCTGGGACAACAGAAGACTGCACATACTATTTTGGAGTATGAGAGGTGGAGGGGGTCTTGGGATGCTTTTGGCTCAGTTACTTGATGTTATGTATGAACAAGCTAAAGTCCATGCAGGTGGTTGACAGTGGAACCATAATTTCAACTCACATTTGTAGGTTTCTGTGCAAAGGGAGGCCTTGGTTTATGATGTGGTGAAATCCGAAGAGGTTTTGAGGCCCCCCTGACAAAATGAGTAGAGAGTTGGAGCCTTTGCCGTAGACTTCAGGAAGAGGGTAGGGGCTTACAGAGAAGAAAATCTCCAGAGAGTAGTAGGGGGTACGGTAGAAGATGCTGTTGCAGAGCCTGCCTGGCCACGGCACACCAGACGGACCTATGGCCTTAGGGGCCCCCAGTCACCTGGGATGCTTTCTAGAATCTCTGTGTATCATCAATATTATCTGATTATTTATTGCTACGTAACAAATGACCCTAAACTTAGTGGCTTTAAGCATTAATGGCCATTTATTTTGGCTCACAAATTGCAGTCTGGGTAGGGCCCAATAGGAAAAGCTTATCTCTATACCTTGTGGCATCAGTTGGAGTGGCTTGAACTCAGGAAACCTGTTTACTCACTAGATTACCAGTTTATTACCAAGGATCTTAAAGGATACAGATCAACAGCCAGGTGAAGAGATACAAAGGGTGAGGTCTCTAACAAAGGAGCTTGGCCCATGGAGCTTGGGCCTGGCATGTTGGCAGGTGGAAGCATCCTGGTTCACCAGCCTGGAAGCTCTCTGAACCCTGCCCTTTTGGGCTTTTATGGTGGCTTCATACACATAGGTGTTATTGATTAACACATTGGCCATTGGTGATTGAATCAACCTCTGACCCCCCCCCCTTCCCTCCTCAGAGTTGGGAGGTGGAGGGAATGAAAGCTGCAGATCCTCTAATCACAAGGCTAGTTCTCCGGCAGCCAGCCCCCAACCTTAGGTGTGGTCCCAAAGTCACTTCATTAACATAACAAAAGACACCTTGATTGTTGTCTTCACTTAGGGAAATTTTAAGGGTTTTATTAGGAGCTATGTGCCAGAAGTGGTGATGAAGACCAAATACGTATTTCGTACTATAAATCATAGCATCACACATGGGGAGAGAAAATAGTTCCACTTGATGAGAGAAATATCAGTATTACATGGTGAGATGGGCATGTGAGATGGGGTATGTTGTGGTCACTGTCTTTGGAAAATACCAACTGCCCCTGGTCTGCTCTCTGGTCACAAAAATTCACATCCTTCCCACATGCAAAATACACTAAGTCTCTCCTCTAAGATCCCAAGCCTTATCCCATTAATAGCATCAGCTTGAAGTATAAGATCTCATCATTTAAATCAGGTCCAGCTAAAGATGAGAATGTTTGGGTGCAGTCCCTTTCATTGTGTGTAATTCTTTGAGTACTATTCCTCTTGATCTGAAGACCTATAAACTAACGAGACTATATATATGCCACCCAAAATACACTGGTAGTACAGGCTTAGGGTAACCACTGAAGATACTTTTCAAAAAGGGGAAAACTGGAGGCCACTCAGCAGTTACTGGCCCGTACCTGCTTTTATATTCATTGAGACACATGTTGCCAATTCCTTGAGTAGGTCTTGGTCCTACTGCTTGAGAGTCATTTTCCTTGTCTCTAGCTCCAGGGCTTTTGGTTCTACCCTCTCAGTCATTCTTCCTTTTTCATAAAAAATAGCCCATTCTTGCAGGTGAGTAGTTTTCTCCATCTGCTTCATGCCCATAATATTTCAAAGGTCCAAAGTCTTCTTTTCATTTTATACTATCTGTTCTTTTCAGTCCAGCTAATACACTTCCTTTAAAAACTTTGTGGGCTTCTTTTGAATC